TTGGGGAAAACTTGGTGATAGTTTCCGTTATATGCAGTAAATATTTTATCACTTTGGTAATGGGATAGTTTGCTACCTTGCCAACTACCGCTAGAATAATGTCTTCCCCCTTCCCTTAATAACAAAGAGCTTCTAAATTCAGGAGCTGTAGGTGCCCAGGAAAACAGCAGAGGAGGGACACAGAGGAAGCAAGAAAGAGTGAGTGCCTAAGAGAGGAGCACTGTTTCATGAGCCTGCACCTCTGGTGTGAGTTTCCATACATTTCATTATGAAGTTGTACAATCCAAATTAGACGTTTTCTTTTCTGGGTTTGTTGTCATTGTTTCTAATTTCATATTTTTTATTGTACTTTAAGCTCTGGGGTACATGTGCCTATCCCACAGGGTTGTGCATAGGTACACACATGCTATGGTGGTTTGAAGTCTCTGTATCCCGTCGCCCACATCAGGCATTTCTGCAGTGTTTTCCCACTCACCATTCTGTAATCACACCACAGCTATGTTTTGACAGCATGGGACACAGCCACTAATATTCTGTCCTCTTTCTGATTCTTTATTTAGGAATAAACAATACAGAGACTAAGGAAGCAAGACACACTGAATGGGGTGGGATTCCTCAGAAGCAACTCGACGCGGAAGTGTTAGACAATCACTTCCCACTTTGTTTTAAATTAGTCCTCTGAGTGTCCTCATTTCTAAATGTTAAGTTGACTCTCCAAATTTTAAAAAAATGGGAAAATCAGGAGGTTGCAACCTGAGTCAGGCCTTTCTGATTTCAAACTTACAGTGGTCTGCAATCTCCCCACTGGCAACAGTCCAAGGAAACATGTGTTGTGAATGCAGCTGCCCAATGTGCCCTGCCACAGACGTGTGCTAGACTTAAAGATATTAAACCACAAGCTCTAAATACAAGGAAGTATGCCACCTGTTGCCTTTCCATCAGGATCAACCGATCCAGGTAAATTCTCTCAGGAGAAATTGAAAAGTAGAGGAAATAAATACTCTTAACAGGAATTTTCTATTTTTTTCTGAAATTACACAAAGTAAATAGTTTTGGATTCTGAAAACATAATCATTGTAACAAATATCTGGGGTAACATAAATGAAGAGCCATTTATAATCCTGAGAATCAGTAAAGAGGGAAACAATTAGCCATCAATGTTAATAGTTGGTTAGAAGAAAGTAATGTCATTTATAAGCATGGGATTTTTATACCCCTGCTCAAGAGGAAATGAATTTTAGGTGGATTTACCAGTGGTGGGGTTATTCTGTTCCACTTTTCTGAAATGGCTAGTTGTGGCTAAGGATGTTATGTGTGACTTTGTAGTATGACAGGCTGTTTAATTGGCCTTTTTGGTGTTATCTGCCAATCAGTTGAAGTGTATAGTCAAGACAAAGCAATAATTTGTAGAGAAAATATTATGTGTCTTTTCATGGAGGAGGCTCTCAATTATAGCTCTCAATAATAGCCAGAAATAGCTAATTCAGATGGGATTCATAAGCTAATTGACTCTCATGATCTCATCTAGTCCCAGTTGGCTCCATCTTAGCATACTATCAAATTGGGGTTAAGACTTCAACATGTGAATTAGAGGGCACAGAAATTAGTCCATAGCAGATAGCAAGAAATATATATTTATAAGTGCACTCCTTGTTATTTACATTCTTCTTCATTTAGCAATTATTTTTGAACACTACTATGGACATACAAAAATGCAAAAATGATTAAGACACACATTTCCTAACGTTAAGTAGCTCATAACTCAGTGAGGAAGTTAGAGAAATCGAAAATTGAAATAAGGTGTGATTATTATAATAAAGATTGGTAAGAGGAAATGTGTCAAGGCTTTATTACAGTTCAGTAGTTCATCAGCAGTGTCTCTGAATTTATTGAGCACCAACTACATACCAGGTAATGTGCTTGGCACTTAGAATATAAAGAAACATAGAGTACTAGCTCAGCCCAAAGGATCCAGGAAACATTTTCTAAAGAAAATGGTGGCATGTGCTCACCTGAAATGATGGGGAAAACTTAGCCAGGTTGGTAAGAGGGGAATGGGCATCCCTAGCAATGAGAGGCAGGTGAGCAAACACACAGTGGTATGAAGTACTGGTGGAGAAATAGACAGTGTGGCATGGAACATAAAAAAGTGTGAGACTGGCCTGGATCAGGGAGGTGGGGATGGGAGAGAGATGATAAGAAATGGCCAGATTATGTGTATATTCTGAAGCTAGAGCTATCCATTATGGTATGTGAGAGAAGAGTCAAGCTGACTCAAAGATACCTATTTAAGAAACTGGAAGCATAGATGCATCATTTACAAACATAAAGACTGGTGGAAGGAATGGACGGGTGGGAAGAGGCTGATTCAGAATCAGGAGTTTGGTGACTGTGGAGATTCATTTGCTTCACAAGTTTTGTTTTGTTTTGTTTTAAGTGGGCTTCCAAGTGAAAGGGAATAAAAGCTGAAGAGTGCTATAAGAGGTAGAACTGACAGAATGTGTGGACTAATTAGATGCAAGCAGTGAAGAAAAAGGAAGAGAGTGGAGTCTTAGATGACTCTAAGTGGATCACGAGGTAGACAGTGGGGCATTCACTGGGACAGGCAGTACAGGCAGGAAAGGGAAGTTACAGTAGGGTGATAACAAGCTCCAGTTTTTCACATTACATTTAAAGTCCTGTGATACATCAAGGGGAAATGCCATCAGGGTCTCTGGAGCTAAGGAGGGAAAAGTGCTAGAAATGTATCATCCTTTAGTGGCAGAAACTGAAGGTATAGGGTGAATGAGAAAGCATATAAAGATGAGGTACAATGCAAAGAGAAGCAATATAAAGACAGAAATTTACTGAACGATATTTAAGGAGAAGGGCCCAACAACATCAATCGTGACTTAGTTCAAACTTTCCTATTAAGAAAAATACATGTGATCTGTACAGAAGAGCCATTAGAACCTTACATACTAAGTCAAATTTTCATAATCTTGGTAAGATAAAGAACTGTGTTTCAAAGATCACAAGCAAGGTCAATTAAAAAATTAATTCTTATACTCAAGAAATCTAGGCTATCATAATTTGAGAAAATATTAAAACTTTTTTTAACCTATAGTATGCCTACAGAAAAGTGCAAGTATCATAGAAGTACAATTAGATTATTTTTCATAGCATGAACACACTCATTAACCAGAACCAACAAGAAAAAATGGTATATCACCAACACCTCAGATATATTTATCAATTTTAATGTCAGGGACATTTGGGTAGCTTCTAGTTTGAGACTACAAAGGACTGCTAGAAAGATCCTAGAACCCAGCGTTTGGTAAATATATATAGAAGTGGACTAGTTGGATCACAGAATAGCCTACATTTAGCTTTACTTTTTGAAAGTGGCAGTCCCAGTCTACACTTAAGCAGAAGTGTGTGTGTTCCGGTTGGACTGAAAGTTTTCAAACAGAGGGAAAACTGTTGCAAAGGAGCTCTCCGATGAGAGGAAAATGCCCAAATCTCAAAACTGGTTAATAGTATATGTTTTCCCCTTTTAATTTTCTATGGGTGAAAAGACTAGTGATGGAAATAGAATTTCTCTAGTACTACATACATGCATTTTACTTAGACACTAGTAAGCCACAGACTCCTTGCCTCTCAACTTAAAGCAGGCCTTCTCAAAGTCAAACTCCAATGCAGCCACTGTCCATACAGTTTTCCTCTCAACTAGCAGTAATGTCACTTATTAAAACGTTTTTCCACTTTACACTATTAATGTCCCAATTTGTATTTTGGCCACATTGTGTATCTTATCTCTTCCAATTTATTAGTAGCTTGAGGGTTAAGGACCATATATATGTATGTCGTTATCTATTCCATCTAGGCTTTTTCCATTTACCCATAGAAAGTTTTTCATATACTTGTACACAGAATAAATAAGTTTCACATTTATTGTGAAGAGTCCCACTCATTTATTTCCAGTACCACAATGTGTTAGTATCCTTTGGCTTTAGGTAACAAATGACTAAAGAAAGACTTGATTTTAGAAAATTAAACTTTGAAGCTCATCTCTAACTTATGCTGGGGAGCAGGGAGTGGGAAGGAATTTGGAGAGGAGGCAGAAAGTCAAGCTTAATTTTTATTGTTCAAAGGAATGCAGTGCAATATGTTCTCTTGGAGCTCTGGGGATTTAAATATCAGAGGCATTGTTGGCAGCTTGGGTTTGCATATGCAGCACTGTTTGGGAATGCTCATATGGTGTGTGATTGTGCTGTGCCTAGAACTGACAGCGCCATCTGTTCCTTGCTTTATTGAGCAATGGGAATTAGCCCGCCCTCTCCAAATGAGCACATGTGCGAGTGCACACACACACACACGCATGCACGCACGCACGCATAGCCCCAACTCCCACCCCAGCCTAAACAGAATACTTGATCAACTCTCCATTTCAAGCTTTAATCTCAGCAGGAAATTCAGATGAGTCAAGTATCAGAGTATGGCCATGGTGAGATCCCACTCTTTCATGGAGAACTGCAAGGTCCAAGTGACAAGGAAACCAGTAATCATCACATGCAAAGCTATTCAGTATGGAAGATGAGCTATACTGACAGATGGTACTGGTCAAAAAAAATAGCTCTATGGAAATAGCATGCTGACAGGGTACCAGTGTATAAGTCAAATATGGGCAATGTAATAAAATAGCAATAAGGGATGATAGAACCATTATTAAAGAAATGTTCACAAGAACTGTTAAGTATACCTGTACATCTGTTCTCTATTCATCATTTGGAAATAGTAGTTATTTCCTAATATTGTCTTCATCATCATCATCATTTCATCAAACAAAAGGGTAGAACTCAGTGTCCATAAATGTAGCTGCATTGCAGGAAATATGTGCCCTGAACAGAAACGGAGAAGTTGAGCTGTGTGATTCATGTGCTGTAGATGCAAACAACATATGCCCAGGACTTTCTGTGACTGTCTTAATTTTATTCTTTAAAAAAATGACAGTGATTGACTAAAGGTGTAACAAGAATTTAATTTTTACACAATTGTCTTTTCACATGAAAAATTTCACAAATCAAGAAAAGTTTAGAAAACATAAATATCACAATGATGGCCTTGAGAAAATAAATGTATGTTGGTGTCAATGTGCGCAGGTGGGTAAAGCAATAATCATTTTCAGCACCTTGTTAGCAGAGTTAATCTGAAAAGATAATCCCCATTACAAAACACAGAGAAATGCTGGATAAAATATAACAAGCACTCCATTCAGTGTTTTAACTGAGTTTATAAGACAGTAAGAAGTAATTCATATGGATCTGAAACGGAAAGGAAACTGAAACCTTGCCGGCAACCCTCTAAGCTGAACTTGTGAAAGACGTTTGTTTTAGGTAAAGGGGGAGGGTGCTTGATAGTTTAGGTAACCTAAGAACATCAGTTTTATATTCATAGAAGACTAGGCCTTGGGTAGCCTGACATAAAAGTTTAAGTCCAAATAGGGCATTTGTGTAGTCTCAATGTATCTCCCTTGAAATATGTGGCAATTACAAATGGAAGAATAGTTAACAGAGTAGAGCATCTTGGCCGACATCATCTAAGCCAACGTATCGTGATTAACATTGTAAGTAATACATACACATTGACACACACCCCTGATAGGATGCATTAAGAAGGACCCATCACTTTTCTAGTATCCTTCCCATTGGTGCGCAACTTCAGCATAATGATGAGAAAACAATAAACACACCCAAATTGAGGTTGTTTATTGTTTTCTGATAACTGAGCAGTACTCTTGGCAAGTGTCAAGGTTATGAAAGACAAGGAGAGAATGAGGACCTGTTCCAAATTAGAGGAAAGTTGTGATAGCTGAACCTAATGTGAGATCTCAGATTGGGTCACAGAACAGAAAAAACGACATTAGGTGAAATCTAAGTGATTGTAGTTTATTAACTTTAAAAAGCTAATAGTGTTATAACAAGATGCACTTTGTTTTGATCAAGGTATGTGGCTAGAGAAGATGTTAATGCAACGCTGTATACAGTTGTGGAAGATATTAATATAATGGAAGGATGTATGGGAACACTATAGTTTTTGCACTTGAGTACATTTATGTCAAAAAAATTAATTGTTCAAAAAAACAGGTACTAGTGACCTCATTGTGGCTATAAAGGGAATCAAGAGAAAGAATAAAGTCAGAAAAAAAAAGATCATTTAATCATGGCTAGAAAATTTATTAAATTCAACCATAATGAGTTAGCAGGGCCTCTTTTTCTTCTTTAACTATTATAAATTGTTTAAGAGGATGTGTGGGCACCGTGCCTATTCACTCCTTCCCACCTACTGAAGGTGGGAAGTGACAAGTCACTGCTCAAGGCAATGTAAACCCCAAAAAGAAGCTGTCAGAGAAGCAGGTGGCTTCAATGTCCCAGGTGGCTTGAAATTTCCTGGAGGCACCTCCTACCTCTTTCAACAAAACGGTGGGCTGAGCATTGTGACTTTAATGAAACTGTAAAAGTAACAAGGCATTCAACAAGCATCAGAATGAAGAGACTGGAAAAGTGAGAGTGTGGGAATATTTGATGTGAATGAATCAAATCTGACAATTGAGACCTACAATCACTGTAAATCAGTTACTCCAGGTTTTATGTTCTTTCACGTCTCTCAGACTTTTTCCTACGTTCTAAAAAGACGTTTGAGGCTGGGTGTAGTAGATCATGCCTGTAATCCCAGCACTCTGGGAGGCTGCAGTGAAAGGGTTGCTGAAAGCCGGGAACAAAGCAAGACATCATCCATGAGAAAAAAAAAATGCTTTTTAAATTACCCTGGTTCAGTGGCATGTGCCTGCTGAGGTAGGAGGATTGCTTGAACCCTTGGGCCCTGGAGTTTAGGGCTGCAGTCAGCTAATTATGATGCCATTGCACTCTAGTCTGGACAACAGAACAAAGCCCTGAATCTAAAATAAAATGAAGTTTGAGAAATGGTGAATAAAATTGTCTGATTATTCTAGAAAGTGCTACTACTTTCCTTGCAATTTATGGGTGAAAAATGAGTGTTAGGGATGGAATTTGGGAACAATCTGACTTCTCATTACAAATATAAATAAGCTCTTCACAATTTTGTGCAATGATAGTTAACATAATGGATACAGATGCAAGGACTGGATATTTTTAAAAGTGGAAAAATAATCATAGAACATACCATCTGGAGCTGGACAGAACTTTGGAGGTTATCTGTTCCAGCTCCTCACTTTTGATGTGAGAAAACTGAGGCTCAGAAGGATTAATGGACTTGTTCATGACAACACAATGGCCTAGAAGGTCACAGCTGAAAAGTCCTGTTACCTGCTGCACTTCTTTTTTTTCTTTTTTTTGAGATGGAGTTTCACTCTTGTTGTCCAGACTGGAGTGCAATGGTGCATCTCAGCTCACTGCAACCTCTGCCTTCCTGGTTCAAATGATTCTCCTGCCTCAGCCTCCCGAGTAGCCATCATGCCCAGGTGTGCGCCATCACGCCCAGCTAATCTTTTGTATTTTTAGTAGATGTGGGGTTTCACCATATTGGCCAGGCTGGTCTCAAACTCCTGACCTCAGGTGATTCACCCACCTTAGCCTCCCAAAGTGCTAGGATTACAAGCGTGAGCCACTGCGCCCGGCCCCTGCGGCACTTCTTAAAAGCAAAGATACAAGTTGCCAGGTGAGAATAATGTGTGGACATCAAATCTGACACAGGCTTTAGGACATAAAATGAAGTCAAAATACCAGTGATGCCTTCACTTTGTTAATCCTCAATTACAGAGGAAACCCATCATGTTCACAGAGGAAAACTCAATTTCCTTTTGAAGACTTTAAAGTTAACTTCTAAGAAGACACAGAAGATGATCTGATTCACCAAGAACCACACAGAGACACTAGTAATGAAAAGAAATATGATCTTGGGACGAAGACAAATGGGAATTCCTTGCATGGCCTTTGGTGTTTTCATGCTAACTGTAAAGAAGCACTGATGTCCACACTTTAATGTATGTGAGTTTCTTACCCTAATTTTACATTGTTTATGTAAATCAACTATGGCTTTTTGGTGATGCAGTAAGCTTTAAATTAAGCTATATGTAAGACGTGATATTCTGACAGGGTACCTAGACTTTATATTCTACAAAACAGTCATAGAAAAGGTGTAACAGAATGACAATAAAGTATTGATATGGTTTGGCTGTGTCCCCACCCAAATCTAATCTTGAATTGTAGTTCCCATAATCCCCACTTGTCATGGAAGTGAACAGGTGGGAGGTAATTGAATCATGGGGCAGTTACCCGCATGCTGCTGTTCTCATGATAGTGAGTGAGTTCTTACAGGAGCTGATGGTTTATAAGGAGTTTTCCCCTCTTTTGTTAGGCACTTCTCCTTGCTCCCACCATGTGAAGAAGGACATGTTTGCTTCCCCTTTCGCCACGATTGTAAGTTTCCTGAGGCCTCCCCAACCATGTTGAGCTGTGAGTAAATTAAACCTCTTTCCTTTATAAATTACCCAATCTTGAGCATGTCTTCATTAGCAGCATAAGAACGGACTAATACAAGTATGTTGGTAAATCAGAGAGAGAGACAGAGACAGAGAGATTAAAAAACAGCTAACATACAAGAACCCAGGCTGAAAAATACAAAGAATAAAATATACCAAAGAATGCTTTTCAAAAAAAAAAAAGGCTGGCAGAGTAAGTCTTCTTTCAGAAACCAGAAACTTTAAAGCAAAAATCATTATTAAGAATAAAAACTTTACCATGTTGCCAGAAAAAAAATAATTCACTAACCATAAAAATAAGAATCCTAAACTTAATTCACTAACCATAAAAATAACAATCCTAAACTTCTATGTACATGGTTTCATAGCCTCAAAATATATAAAACAGAAATTGATAACATTCCAAAGAAAATCAACAAATTCACATTTCTCCCATTAATTAATAACTCATGGGCAGCAAAATTTTTTAAGAGTATAGAAAATCAAATAATTAAGTTAGGTAGTTTTATCTAGTGACAACAATTAGAGAAGACTCATTCTTTTCATGCATAAATGAAGCATTTCAAAATTGACCATACACTTAGTTACAAGGCAAGTTTCAACATACCAAATGATCTGTATCAAACATACTACCTTCTCTGTCCACTATGCACTTAAGTTAGAAATCAGTAATGCAAAGATAAGTATAATTCATTATAATTTGTAAATTTAGTTATAGATTTCCAAAGATGAATTATTGTGGAAATAAGAATATATTTAGAGCTGCATTACAATTAAGATACTACACTCAAAATCTGGATGGCCTAACTAAAGTAATACTGGAGAAAAATTCATAAAATAACAAAAGAAAAAGAATTTTTAAAAAATAGCGAGCTAAGCATGTACTTAAGAAGTTAGAAAAAGAACAGAATAGGGCCAGGCACAGTGGCTCACGCCTGTAATCCCAGCATTTTGGGAGGCTGAGGCGGGAAGATTATGAGGTCAGGAGTTCGAGACCAGCCAGTTCAAGACCAGCCTAGCAAACATGCTGAAACCCCATCTCTACTACTACACACAACTTCCCAGGATTGAACCAGGAATAAATTAAAATCTTAAGCAGACCAATAATGAGTTTTAAAATTGAATTAGTAATGAAAATCCTACCAACCAAAAAAAGTCCTGGACCAGATGGATTCATAGTTGAATAGTATCAGACATACAAAAATGAGCTGGTACCTATCCTCCTGAAACTATTCCCAAAAATGAAGGAGGAAGGACTCCTCCCCCGCTAATTCATTTTACAAGACCAGCATCATCTTGTTGCCAAAAATCTGGCAAAGACACAATGAAAAAAGAAAACTACAGGCCAACATCCCTGATGAACACAGATGCCACAATTCTCAACAAAATACTAACAAACTGAATCCAGCAGCATATCAAAAAGTTAACTCACCATGATCAAGCAGACTTTATTCAAGGGATGCAAGGACAGTTCAATATACACAAGTCAATAAATGTGATTCACCACATAAACACGATTAAAAACAAAAACTATATGATCATCTCCATAGACACAGAAAAAACTTCAATAATATCCAACATCCCTTCACAATAAAAGCCTTCAACAAACTAGGCACTGTAGGAACATACCTCAAAATAATAAGAGCTATCTATGACAAACTCATGGCCAACATCATACTTAAGAGCAAATGCTGGAAGCATTTTGCTGAAGAATTGGAATAAGACAAGAATGTCCACTCTCACCACTCCTATTCAACACAGTACTGGAAGTTCCAGCCAGAGAAATCAGGCAAGAGAAAGAAATACAAGTCATACACATAGGGAAAAAAAGCCAAACTCTCTCTCTTTCCTGATGATATGATTCTATACTGAGAAAAATGCCAAAGCCTCCACCGAAGCTTCTTAGAACTGATAAACAATTTCAGTGAAGTTTCATGATATAATGCGTAGCATTTCTATAAACCAATAATGTTCAAGCTAAGAGCCAAATCAAGAAAACAATCCTATTTACAATAGCCACAAAAAGAATACAATACCTAGGAATACATCTAACCAAGGTGAGAGACCACACGAGAACAACAAATGCTATTGAAATAAATCAGTGATGACACAAACAAATGGAAAAACATTCCATACTCAAGGACTCGAAGAATCAATATCATTAAGATGGCCGTATTGCCCAAAGCAATGTATAGAGTCAACAGCATTCCTATCAAAATCCCAAGATCGTTTTTCACAGAATTGGAAAAAAACGACTCTAAAATTCACATGGAACCAAAAAAGAGCCAGAATAGCCAACATAATCCTAAGCAAAAAGTACAAAGTGGGGGGCATCGCATTACCTGACTTCATACAATATTATAAGGCTACAATAAACAAAACAGCATGGTACTGTTATAAAAACAGACACATAGACCAATGAAACAGAGTAGAAAACCCAGAAATAAAGCTGCACATCTATAACCATATGATCTTTGACAAAGTCAACAAAATAAGCAATGAGGAAAGGACTCTCTACTCAGTAAATGATGCGGGTATAACTTGCTATCCATATACAGAAGAATGAAAGTAGACCCCTATCTATCACCATATATAAAAATTAACTCACGATGGATTAAAGACTTAAATATAAGACCTCAAACCGTAACATGTCTTGAGGAAAACCTAGGAAATACCCTTCTCAATACTGGCCTTGATAAAAAATTTATGGTTGTCTTCATAAACAATTGCAACAAAAACAAAAATTGACAAGTAGGACCTAATTAAACTAAAGAGTATTTGCAAAACAAAATAAACTGTCAACAGAGTAAACAGACAATCTATAGAATGGGAGAAAACACTTATAAACTATGCATCTGAAAATAGCCTAATGTCCACAATCTATAAGGAATTTAAATCAATAATCAAAAAACAAATATCCCATTAAAAAAGTGGGCAAAGGATATGAACAGACACTTCTCAAAAGACATACAAATGGCCAGTGAATGGGAAAATGCTCATCATCACTAATAATTAGATAAATGCAAATCAAAACCACAGTGAGATACCATCTCACACTAGTCAGAATAGCTTTTGTTAAATCATCAAAAATAACAGATGCTGGTGGGGTGCAGAGAAAGGGGAACACTAATGCACTGTTGGTGGGAATGTATACGAGTGCATCCACTGTGGAGAGCAGTTGGAAGACTTTTTTTTTTTTTTTTTTTTTTTTTTGAGACGGAGTTTCACTCCTTACCCAGGCTGGAGTGCAATGGCGTGATCTCAGCTCACCGCAACCTCCGCCTCCTGGGTTCAGGCAATTCTCCTGCCTCAGCCTCCTGAGTAGCTGGGATTACAGGCACGCGCCACCATGCCCAGCTAATGTTTTGTATTTTTAGTAGAGACGGGGTTTCACCATGTTGACCAGGATGGTCTCGATCTCTTGACCTCGTGATCCACCCGCCTCGGCCTCCCAAAGTGCTGGGATTACAGGCGTGAGCCACCGCGCCCGGCCCCTGGAAGACTTCTTATAGAACTAAGAGCTGAACTACCATTCAACCCAGCAATCCTATTACTGGGTATATAACCTAAGAAAAATAAATCATTCTGCCAAAAAGGCACATGCACCCATGTTCACTATAGCACTATTCACAATAGCAAAGACATGGAATCAACCTAGATGCCCATCAGTGTTGGACAGGATAAAGCAAATGTGGTACATATACATCAAGGAATACTATGCATCCATAAAGAAGAGTGAAATCATGCCCTTTGCAGCACTATGGATGCAGCTGAAGGCCACTATCCTAAATGTGATAATACAGAAGGAGAAAACCAAATACCACATGTTCTCACTTATGAGTGGGAGCTGAACATTGGGTACACATGGACATAAAGATGGGAACAACAGATACTGGGGAATGTAAGAGGGAGGAGATTGGGAGAAGGAGAGGACTTAAAAAGTACCTATTGTATATTATCCTTACTTCCTGGATGATAGGTTCAATTATACTCCAAACATCAGCATCATGCAATATACCTTTTAACAAATCTGTACATGTAGCCCCACTCCCAAATCTAAAAGTTGAAAACATATATAAACGAGTAAAAGGCATGACTTTGGTACATAACTGCACTAATCTACTTAATAATACAGTCCATTAAAAATCACTTTTATTGCTATTGTTGATAATCAAAGTTTCTTCTGATATCTATAATTTGAGGAAGACTATGAAAACATTATAAAACTTTTCAAGTTGAACCAAAAATAAATAAATAAATAAGAGCTTTTGTTTTTTCCAAAGAATGAATGAGATTTCATTAGATGAGAAATACTTATATTTGATTCTTTTCCATAGCTACAGAAAACTCAGAATTAATTTAATGTTTTATTGTTGTAACTATGATTAATCCAGGTTTCCAATAAAGGTACTTTCCTACAAGATGTTTGTTTGACATTACTTTTTCTATTTTAATGTATTCTAATTATTTTATTGTAAGAAAAGTCAATTTCCTTTTGGAGATGGGAGAAACATAATTAGTAAATGGTACAAATAGTAAGAAAAATAATCTTTAATATTCATTATATCAACATATTGTCTACATCAATGTCAAAAGCTATTTAATAAAATTAAATATTCTTAATAAAACTCTGAGATAAAAAACTTGAATTTGAAAATTACCAAAACTTAATAGCAAATATCATATCATTAATAATTGGTGTAGTGCTAACATTTCCATTAATATCAGAAATAAGGCAAGGATATCCCTCTATCATTCAACACTGTTTTAAATAGTGTAGCTAATGTAATAACATTTTGAAAATCAAACAAAGCAATACAAATATTAAAAGGTGTATATTTTTTTCAGTGTTCTACCCATAAAATCCAAATGTCTATAATAGCCAATTAAAATGAGTAAGAATATATAATATATATAAAACAAATGGATTCCTTTTCTCTATATCTCCAATAACTAAATGGAAATGGGGGGAAATTCTACTCTAGTATCAGTAATAAATACATAGAATAAATCT